AAAAAAAAAAAAAAAATTCTGGCAGAGTTATAACTTCATCCTCAAAGTCCTAAGTCCAAAGGCAGATTCAGGAATAATTTAAAATAAAGGCCCTCTGTAGTATTGTGATCTGGTTGAAATGAGTAATATTTCCTTTCTTGGGCTCTCCAGTACCTAGTTTGTCCTTCCTTCCATCATCCATCCATCCATCATCCATCCATTCATCCATCCATCCATCCATCCTTCCATCCATCCAGCAAACATTGTTTGAACACCTATTGAATTTCAGACACAGTGCTGTGTTATCTAATAAATGTCAACAACTCACACACTTGCCAGATGTTGGTAGGAGTTATGACCTGTAGTCTAGGCAGGTGGCATCTGAACCTTAATTCTGACTACATTATCTTGCCCAGTTAGAACAAGGCAGGAATTAGAATTAATAATAATGTAAAGGAATACTGAAGAAGAGGTGAATATTTTGCTTTATGTTTTGAATTTTTCTTTTAACTGCTTGACCATTTTGGACAGTATCTGAAAATAGAGGGTTTGTGCCTTGGTGAGTGCATCACCAATAAACACAACCAGGAGAGAAATCAGTGAAAAGATGTTGATCATTTTCCAACTAAGATAATTCCCCAAGTAGTACCTTTCCAGACCAAGAAAGCAAGGGGATTTTATGGGGAAAATTTATACATATTCATATGGGAAGGGCTGTCATCATCAGTAGAGGTGGGCACCTCTGAGCATGCTCAGTTCAAGGTCATGCTTCACAGTTCAAAATGGTAAACGGGCTTACCTCCTGGGTGGAGAATTTAGTTTTATAATGAGCAAAATTCACTCTAGGTTACCAAAAAAGAGTAAGTCAGAGTGACTCCGTGATTTTGTCAAGTTCCTTGTAAGTTTTTCTGGAAAGCCTTATCTGAAACAAAAATTTAAAAATGACTTTGAAGGAACGTATACAGTCATTTTAAGGGGCAGTGTCCACCTCCTACCCCAACCCTGGAAAGCACATGATTACACCTGAAAGTACCTGGCTAGAAAATAGCTAGTAATTTTAGCAAATTACTAGCCTGTGATAGATTAACCAAGGAAGAATATACAGTCATCAGTTATACCTAGTGAATTTCCCAGGATAAAAAATTTCTCTGAGACCCTAATGATTTAAACCAGCCATTGGCACAGTTCAAAATCATTGAGGAATCTGTTGCCTCCTTAATTTATATGCATTTATGTCACTCTTTAGCCGGATCTTATTCATTGTGCGTAACACTTGCTATATGTAATGGCCTGCTCAACTTGGAGTGAAGTACACATTCTGTCCTTTAAAAAATCAATCAATCAATCAGTATTTGAATCAGGTTGAATCAAACCAGTTTTTTTTTCATTTAAATTAGTTGATAGGAAAATAAATCTCTTTTGAAATGAAGAAAGAAAGGAACAAAAACAACCCAAAAAGATCTGAAAGAAAATCCTTCCTGGGAGAATAACAATATATGTTCTTTCCCTTCAGGTTTATTCTTGGAAATTCTCTCATGTTATCTGTACACTGTTTTTGTGAAGATCAAAGGAAATTAATTATGAGACGAGTTATAAGGCTGCTCTATCAAAATTAAGGTGCTGTCACTGTCAACTGATGAAGGTATTTGTTCAAAGGAAAAAAAAAGTTGGACTGTGTTCCCCTTCAGTTTTTATGCAATTGTTTATCTTTTACTGTGGCCTGTTTGTTCTTTTTCTTATCTATGCAAGACTATAAACCATGTATTAATGAGGACTTTGAATCCTATCTTGATCCTGTTAACTATTTTGTAGTTTCATTTCAGCCAAAGACTTCTGAGATTTTCTGTTACCTATATTTTGTTATCAGAGAGAGAGGGATTATGATAAGTGAGAAATTATTTTGTATCAGAATGTTATGAATGCAAGTGGTGAAGAAAGAAACAGAGTAAATAAGAGTTGTGTGGTTGATTCCGGATCTGATGCCACCATTTTACCCTTGACCCATTTATAAAGCTGTCTCTATATCTTAATGAGTGGAAAGTAGCAAATTTGTTAATTCACCCTTCTGCGTTCCTTTGTGCATGCCTGACCTTCCAAATAAGTGATTCAAACACTAGAGAGGTAGAATTGTTGGTAGTGGTAGGGGTGTTGGGTAGCTTTCTTGCCATTCTTTGGAAAATTTTGCTTTATGTTGAAATTACATTTGTAAGTTGCAATTATAATAATGATATTTTAAGAACAACTACAACCATTTTTTAGCACCTCCCCCAGGCTAGGTATTTTATATCCATTATCTTCACAACAATAATGAGAGATAATGAACATATAATGTTAATACAATTAGTGTGGATTAATTATTTGCAATAATATTTTGACAACTCCTTGAGGGAGTTCTTTATCAGTTTTCAAGACAGCTCTGTACACCACACAAGTGCTGTGAGATGGTTGGCCGACAGCATCTTTATCAAGGCAGGACTTGAGCCTGATTCAGGTTTTTTTTTTTTTGCCTAGCATCTCACTTATTTTTAGAATATAATATAAGTTAGTAAAAATAAAAGAGTGAAAAGCAATACAATCACAGCTATTGAAATACACTTCTCAGATTGAGTGGGATTTCACCGGACTTTCTTTTAGAATGTCTTAAGTATGACTTTGCCTGGCAATGGAAGATGGAACAAAATTGCTTAAGAAAATTATTCTGGCTTTCAACAGAACAAACAAGCAGCGTCTCTCCATGAGTAAACCAGGGGATAATCAGGCACAGTGGATCCTGTGCTGACTGTGCTTCTCTGCTCCTGGCATATTGAGTATGCCCGACTCTACCTCCAGACCCTTGGGCATGCTGACTGTGTATCCCAGTCCACGGAGAGGACTGCCATCCCTCTGGTTCCAGATCAGCCAGGAATTGTTGAGTGTTGAATCATACATAGGATGAGGTCAAGGAGTCCATAGAAAAAACATTACTGATTGACACACAGGGCTCATGATGTCGATGGCAGTATATTTTTCTCAATGTATATTCTGGTCTTTAGGCTTACGGTTCCTCAGATGTGATATCGCCAGGGCCCTAGAATTTACCCAATAAATGATAAATATTTATTTGGCTCACAATAGATTCTATAGAAAACTAAATCCACTAGGGTATATAGCCCACAAAGACCCTCTGCTAGTGAAATCTACATGAGAAGATAAATATTAATCAGAGGGTTTCTTTATGAGCATGAAAGCAGGCCAGGGGATTGAGCAGAAAGAGTTGAATATTTAAAGGCCCAGGTTAGGTCAGACCAGGGCCAGGGCTCTCATCTTGCCACCAAAGTGGGATCAGGGAAATTACTGAGTCAGAACGTTTCTGCTCCTGGAAATTTCCCGGCCTGGAGATGACTTGTGCTCCTCAGACCTTGTTGGATGAGCACTGGAAAATTTCCCCTGGCCTCCCTCACCCCCAGCACACTGCCTTCACCAGTCCCTAAGACAAAGATGGTTAGACAACAAATACTCATGGCCTGAAGACATGAAATGCCCTTAATTAGATTCCACATTCACATTAGGAAGTAATTGTCTTTCTGAAATAAGATGCCACGTCATTTTCCTTTATTCATTGTGAGGAAATAGAAGTCACGGGTTAAGATAAGGGGGGAAAGGTGTCTATGGAAAGGAGGCATATCCTAAATGGATGCTTTTCAGGGTCATTTAATGGCCTATTTATGTAGATAAGAACTGCTTTCTTTACAAAATGGATACCAGCTGGAGGTTTAAGACTACCCAATACAACACAGTGTACCTAAGTGAGTCATTTTTAATGGAATCTAATGTTTGGTTTACAGAAAATTATAATTTAAAATTTTACATGCAATACAGCTAAGACCTCGAATCTCAGCATCTTGCTGGGGCAAAATCTACATTAGCTCTTCATAACTCTCGGTCCAAAGCTTTCTGCATAAATACAGACAGATTATGTTTTTCCTATCATCTCATGGATGTGCAGCAAATAAGAAAAGGCAATTTTAGTTTGAGAGAGATGGAGAAGAAGATGCCCCTTTTTTAAAAAAAATATATTTTTTTTTAGTTATACATGGGCACAATATCTTTATTTTGTTTATTTATTTTTATGTGGTGTTGAAGATTGAACCTAGTGCCTCACACACTTGAGGCAAGTGCTCTGCCATTGATGGTCCCTAGATGGCCCTTTTTTGATAATGAGACATTAGTAGGAACAAGTAGGCCTGATGGAAATCCAGCTGGTGCAGAAACAGCTATTAAGGGCATCTCCATGGCTGTAATCTTAGAACTGGTTGGTACGTCTCATGCCAGGGAAGGCCCAGGAAGGTTTTAGAGTGAAATTGATTCTTGTGTGAGTTGAGTTGTGAAGGATTAGTAGAGAGTCTAATTACGCAAAGGATATGGGGGATATGTTCCAGTCAGATACAAATGCCTGGGTAAACACTCTGAAGTTTCCAGTGTGTTCATCTGCCATCTTCTTCACCTCCCATCCACACTCACCATGACCTTAACCAATACCCCATCCTGTCACATCCCTGGTTTCCAAGAACCCTGTGCTGTAGCTCTGCTGATCTTTAAACCAAGGGTACAACTGAGGTTGTGAGGTTGAGGGTAGTGAACCAAATCTGGCCTACTACTACATTTTTGTAAATAAAGCTTTGTTGGAATATAGCCATGCTCATTCATTGAAGTATTGTCTGTTTGCATTCACAGCTGAATCGAGTAGTTGTTTCAGTGATGACAAGATCCTCAAGCTGTGTGTCATTGAGATGATAGCTATTGAACCCCTCTGTGTTCCAATTTTTTTTACCAGTAACATGGCAGTCATGATACGAATTGCATTATGTTTTCACAGTGATTAATGAGGTACTTTGTTGGACACTGTAATGTGCCACCCTGATTTTTCTTCAGAGTAAGGTTTTATTTCCTCCACGCTTAGATGTTAGTCTTTGTTGTGCTGGGAAAAAATTTCACCTGAGTTCATTACTCTTTCCTGGGGTAGTCCCCATGTAATGACTTATTACTCTGGGCTGGATAAAGATCTGAATCCCTAACCCCTCATTCAGTCCACTCTGAGAAGCTCCCCATGGGTCATGGCAACCCAGCCATTCCCTGTGCCCACTCCTGCTTTCTTCCCCACCCGTTCCACAGAGGTGAATACCAAAGCCACTCCCTAATAAATATCTTGCATACCAAGCTCCTTCTCAGGGTCTACATTCAATGATCCCAGCCTGTGACAATATATGCCAGGATTGGCTGATGAGTACAGACACCCAGGTGGGATCTTGGAGCTGATTACTAGCTCCAGGATACCCGAGAAGGTATGTCATTGATTGGTGGAACTCAGAGAGCCTAGGCCATTGTGCAGTCATTAATACTGTCAACAGTGGTGACCTGGGTTGTATTTCCATGCAAGGAAATGCACTAGCTTCAGCAGTAAGTTAGACATTTGAGAAATAGAAGGGAAATAGTAACCAAAAGGAGAGTGGAATTGGCCGGCTGTTGTTAGGTTCCATGAATACCCTGGAAAAAGATAACAAAAGGCTGAGATTGATGAAGCAGCAACTGAATGCTAAGTGTAAAGGAAGAGGGCCTCCCTGGAAATATACCAAGGGACTCTGTTAGAGTTCGGTTCTGGAATGTTCCCCAAGTGCTCTGGTGTTAAAGACTTGATTGACAATGCAGACATATTCTGAGGTAGCGCTTTGGGGCTGTAATTGGGTTATAAGAGCTTTGACCTCATCAATGAGTTAACCCATTGATGGGCTCAAAGCTGAATGAACTGCTGGCAAGTGATGGAAACTGTAGAAAGTGGAACCTCGCTGAAGGGAGTGGGTCCTTGGGGAATGCCCTTGAGGTCTATGTCTTGACCCAGACCCTTCCTTGGTTTCTTGGCTGCCGTAAAGTCAGCAGCTTCATTTCACTCTACCCTTCCACCATGATGTTCTGCCTCACCAAAGGCCCCGAGCAATGGAGCCATAATATTATGGATTGAAACCTCTGAAACCATGAGGCAAAACAAATCTTTCCTCCTTTGTTTTTCTCAGATATTTTGTCACAGCAATGGGAAGCTAATACAGGCTCTCCTCTCTTGAATTGGGAGAAGAGGTATTTAAACATGAAAATCAGGTTCTGGGTATAATTGTGAGTAGCTGAGGCAGGTCTGCTATGGCCCCCTTGGGGAGAATGGGCCTTTCACACAAGAGATGAGCACATCTACATTAATGCCTCCCCTGCAAGAGTCTTGACTGCAGGTGAGCCTGAACTGTCTGAGGCTGTGTAAATGGCCCATTGCTCCTCTTCGTTAAGGGCTAGGTACATGTACACATGCATACACGTGTGCGCACACACGCACACTTACACTGATGTAAATGCAGAGGTCTCTTCTCTACATCATGCACTCCCTTTGGATTCTCCCACATCTCTCCCCCAACCACTGGGTACATACATCAGAGTTAAGTCATGAAATAATTTTGCCATGAATATGCTGGGGTTGATAAAGAGAGGAAAACACATATACCTCCTTTAGTCCGATTTCAGTACTCCTCAACTGAGAGAACATGCCTGGGGCTGGATTTTGAGGGTGCCTGACCGAGATAGGTGGAAGATAAATTTGGATACAAGAGAATTTGCTGATATGAGAACACTCTTCCCTGCCACAGGAGGTAATGATGCTCTGACAAGGACCCGAGAGAGGGTGGGAACATGTGCAGGATGACTCCAGAAGCGCGGAGAAAGCATTGTCACAAACTAAGGGAGACGGAAACAGGAATGCTGTAGCAGACTGTTGCACAGTAGAGAGGAAAGAAGAGTGTTTGGCATCTCTCCTCCCTGGTCCTCTTTGACAGTAAATGACAAGGGCAGAAATCTCAGCCGTTTTGATTGGTATTATATCATTCTGAACATCTCCAAATCAGTCAAGAGGCTGCAGATTGGTGTCAAAACTAGTACCCCAAGGATGCCCCATAAATAATTACTACAGAAGTCCAGGAACACTGAGAGACTCCCAGCCCTCAGGGGGTTTGCTGAACCCTCAGTCATTAGAGTTTTTAGACTTCCTTTACCTCCCACCACCCCAACCCCAATCAGAACAATAACTCAGATCACCTAACTCAGCTGTCCAGATATCAGCTCTGACTTTTGACACCCTAGTACACAGGACATCCTACATATGTGCACCAGACTGAGAGATGGGTTCCATCTTCTGCAAGGACAAGATGTCCAGGGGAAGAAAAGGAGGCAGCCGAGTGCCCCGTGTGTGATAATCAATTTCGACAAAACTATTCTTCTCTGATAAGAAGTAATTTTTGCTTAGAAAGCAATCTCTAAACTTTCTTTTTCTGGCTCAATCCATATTATCTATTGATTTGCAGTTTCCAGCATATCAGCTATTTTATTACACAAATTCTTTTCCATTATAAAAATCAGCAATGTGTATGGTTTTGATATGACTTGGACTCCCCTTATCTATGTGAACATTGTTCTTTGGGAATGTCAAGCTGAGAATGCTTGCTTTTAGATTAGCTCAGTGACCTTAGCCCACATAGCAATTATTCTCAGATCATTTTTTTTTTTTCTGAACTCCGAAGCCTTCAGTCATTCTGATTTCCCATGGGCAGAACAGATGTTCACTCTGGTTACAATTTAGGGAGAATTAGGAAAGCTCCCTCATTTCTTCCTATAAATATTCTCCCAAATGGTTCTAGAAATCCCACTGCTGTAACTCCATGAAAAGTGTCTAAAATCGTCACTGTGTCTATAATGCAGCGCTGCTTTAATGCAAGGTCCAAGGTGAGCGCCAGGAGACCTGCTGTGAGGACTGAAGTCAATCTGCAATCCCATTATATTGGAATTTGAGCGATCACAGGAGTGAGCTATCATCAAACTTCAATGCTTAGCAATCTGAGCTTTGGGTTTCACATTAAAGTCTCCCAGAGTTTCTCATTTACTGTGTAAGAACCTGTTGGTCTCTCTATTTACTCATTATCAAAGAGTAAGAACCATGGGTATACCAAGGAGCAGGAAGAGAGTAAGCAGAGGGAATAGGAGGGGGAAAGGTTCAGGGAGTAAATACTAGTTTTTGGCTAAAATAGTTTGATCATATAAAAGACCAGAAAGGATGCTGAAAATAGTTTTGAACTACTTGCTAAAGGTCCAAGGATCTTAAAGAACTGGTGTTGTGATCTTGAACATGACACCATTTTTTTTTTTTAAATCTCAATTACTTCATCTATAAAATGCAAGTTCCCAGAACTGCCCTGCCTACCTCCCCGGCTGTAAACTTTTATTTCTGAAGAGTTCCAAAAAGCCTACTGTGCTCTGGAAAAACACTTGGTTGTTGTTCTGATATGGTAAGCACTCACAAATCCTGCCTCTAAATCTATTGGGAAAGGAGTTGGTTACAAGGAAGGAATATTTGTCAGTCATATCAAGAAGCAGAGGAGTGTTTATTTGATAATTTTGTCTTACAGTAATCCTGGTATTGCTGTTATGGTGCTGAGGCTATTCAGTCAACCACATTTCTTTGGTGGAATCATGTTAATGGAAAAAGGAGTGGTTGGTCCAGATCATATTGGTTTATGCTGTGCAATAACTCTGCACTTTCTTGTCAGTTCCTTGTTGAGTAACACTTCTCTGTAACTGCATGATCCTCTGTGATTGCAACATCAACTAGATGTAGCCTGCTCACTTTTTGATTTTTCCTACATTAACATCCATAGTTTGATATTTAGCTATTAATTGGCAAACTGGTTCATTTTTATATCCTCTTTCAAATACATATATACATATTTACATATATACATTTTTAAAACCAAGAATGAATTAAAGTATGTTCCTAAACTTCATGGACTACTTGTGTGTATATACATGCAAGTACACACAGAGTTTCAGCCAACAAAAGTAATAGTAAGGGCAAATAATAAAAATGGCAATAATAGTTGGGGTGGAGCCCAGTAGTAAAGCATGTACTTAACATCCCTGAGGTCCTAGATTCAATCCTCAGCACCAAGAAAAAAAAATAGCAGTAATATTTTTGAGCATTTTCTACTGTGCTAAAACTTCTGTATACATATTATTCCATATTCCAATAGTGTAAAAGAATCAGCTTTATATTCCCCTTTTGAGAAAGTGAGACCGAAAATAAAGCCACATGACAAGCTTGCCTAATTCTAAGTAGCAGGTCTAGGATTTGAACCCAGCTTCCTCTGATTCTGAATCCCAGGCTCTTGATTTGTCTATCTTCACCTTAGAGCATGCACTCTATGGAAAGTTTGTTGTGCACTGTGAATAGAGGATGAATAAAATACCATTGTCTGCATCCAGCTCCATTTAACATTTGAATGACCACTATAAAAGCTATTCTTGAGGGGCATACATGAATGAAATTAAGGGTTATTATAATTTTTTGTAGTAATAATAAATTTTATGATTTGAGGTATTATGGTTTGGATATTAGGTGTCCCCAAAAGCTCATGTGTGAGACAAGGCATGAGAGTTTAGAGGTAAAATGATTGGGTAAAGAGAGCCTTAAACCAATCAGTGAATTAATCCCCTGATAGGGATTAACCAAGTGGTAACAAGGCAGGTGGGATGTGGCTGGAGAAGGTGGGTCCCTAAGGACATCCCTTTGGGGTATATAGTTTGTCCTTGTTGAGTGGAGCTCTCTCTCTTTCTCTCTGCTTCCTGATCATGTCCTGAGACACTTTCCATCATGGTGTTCTGCCTCACCTTGAGCTCCAAGGAATGGAACTGGCTGCCTTTGGACTGAGACCTCTGAAGACATGAACCCCCGAATAAACTTTCCCTCTTCTCATTGTCTTTGTCAGATCTTTTGGTCACAGCCAGGAAAAAGCTGACTAAAACAGAGGGGAAAATACCATTTAAATAATAAACGTGATAACAGACTGCATGGCCTATCTTGACTTCAGCAAGGTATCAAACCATCTTTCATAAAAACTTTGAGGGAGAGTTGTAGAAATACAGAATACATGATAATATAATTCAAAGAATTCAGAATGATTAAACTCCCATACCAAAATGTGTTTACAAATGGTCAAAGCCACTGTAGCAGGGTCTTAGAAGTGAGCCATTGTGTGCTCTCTTTGCTCTTGATCTGTCGATGTCTGTCACGACCCCCTTGCCCGCAAGGAAGATGCGACTCAGGAATCTTCTTTCAGCAGTTTATTCAGGCCCTTGATATTTTTCTAATAATTCTTCTAATCCCCCTCGGATGCCCCTCCCAGCCTTAATAAAGCACCGCGAACCCCAATGCGAAGCTGCCACGTGGACCCTTCTCACAGGGT